ACATCTAGGGATCAGGAATAATTCTTCTTAAAATATTACATTATTCCATGTATTCTTGTGTGGTAAGTATGCTTTATGGCCTCTAAAGAAGAAACTAGATTATATGAAGTGAATAAACTGAGTCCTTGTGGAGTCATTTTGAGACTGTGGCAGGGCAATTTAGATTATGTGAACTGCCATTCTCTTGCTTATTTATCCACTCTGAAGGGTCCCCATAATCCCCTATATCTGCATAGAAAGCATGGAGGCACCTTCTCATATCTCTGGTGCCAGGTTTGGTCCTATAATTTCCTTTCTTTTCTTTTTTTTAAAACTAATGTGAGCATTTCCCAAATTCATTCAGAAAAGGAATCTTCACTAGGAACAGCTTGGGTTGTTTTGTGTGTGTGTGTGTGTGTGTGTGTGTGTGTGTGTGTGTTTTGGTGAGACAGTCGGGGTTAAGTGTCAAGTGTCTGAGGTCAGATTTGAACTCAGGTCCTCCTTACTCCAAGGCTGGAGCTCTATCCACTGCACCACCTAGCTGTCCCCTGCTTCTAATTTTTTTCCATTTTACTTTTTTTAGTGTCATCATCACTGTACCATATGTGGTTTCCCCTTCCTCCTCCACCTACTTCCCCACCACCCCCATATATCTATCCGTTTAGAGCTTATTGTGGTATATGGTGTGAAATAACTGATTTAAACCAAATTTTGGCCCCCCTGCTCTCCAATTTTCCTAGCAGTCTTTTTTTTTTTTGGCTAGGCAGTGGGGTTAGTTGATTTGCCCAGGGTCATACAGCTAGTAAGTGTTATGTGTTTGAGGCCAGATTTGAACTCAGGTCCTCCTGAATCCAGGCTAGTGGTCTATCTACTGCGTCACCTAGCTGCCCCCTAGCAGTCCTTGTTGAAGAGGACTTAACATCCTTACTCAGATATTGGGCTGTGCTGCTATCTCTTTGCTTCTGGATCTGATTTACTTAATCTGTTCCACTGATCAACATTCTATTTTTTTAGTAGTACCAAATAGTTTTAATAATGACTGTTTTATAGTATAACTTTACTTCAAAACACTACTGATATTACCAGGCTCCCATCCTTTCCATGACCTCTTGTTCCTCCAGAGGAGTATTATTTTTTCTCTTCTTAAGACCATCTTTTGAATACTTGGCTTGTTATGGCACTGAATCTATAAGTAATTTTATTGTCATGTGTATTACATCGGTATGCCCCAGCCATGAAGAAACTCTCTTTAATTATTTAAGTCTGTCTTTTTGTGAAAGGTATTTTGTAGTTGTCTTCATATAATTCTTGTGTGAATCTTGGTAGCTAGACTCCCAGATAGTTTTTGTAGTTATTTTGTTTGGAATTTATTTTTCTATCTTTTCCTGCAACAGGATTTAGTGACTGTCTATCAAAGTTGAGGGGCATAGAGCAGTTCAACATAGGAGACTTGGTGGCCACTACCACGTTTCCTGAAGTCAGAAGAAGGGGCAGACTTAAGGGAAAATATAGTAACTTGGTTTTGGATGTGTTGAGTTTGCAGGGAAGGGGAGGAAAAATGTAAAATGATGGAGGGAATAGCAGAGTCAAGTCAAGGTTATTAAAATGTTTAGGAGATTTGGTCATATTTCTTGTCAGCAAGGAAGGAACGAGTAAAAGGAATTGGGGAAAAAAATCTGCTGGAGGGATTATTACAGTGAAAGGTGGTTTTGTTGTACTGGCTAGAGCTGGGGCCTTGGAGTCGGAAAGAGTTGACTTTTTATCAACTCATTGACCTGACAGGCTAGTTCAGGAACCATGGGGGCATATCACTTTAGTTCGGTATTATATCCCTCCCTTGATGAGGCAAGAAAAACAAAACCCATTACAAATATTAAAGGTGATGCAAAATAAATTTCTGCATTAGGTGTGTCCAGTAGCAAAATAAAGAGAAGAAAATATGCTTCAGTGTGCCATCTGAGTTCATTGCTTTTCTCTCTGGAGGTGGATAGCATGTTTCATCATGAGTCCTCTGAAATTGTGCGTGGTCATTGTGTTGATCAGAATTACACATCTTTCAAAGTTGATTATCTCTAAAATGTTGTTATTGTATAAATTGTTCTGGTTCTTCTCAGTTCACTTTGCATCATTTTGTACAAGTCTTCCCAGACTTTTCTGAAACCATCTCTTTCATCTTTTCTTACAGCACAATAGTATTCCATTATATTCATATACCATAACTTACTTGGCCATTCCCAATTGATATATGCCCAGGGTTTGGTACAGTGCCTGGCACATAGTAGATGCTCAATAAATGTCTATTGACTGACTGACTGACTGAAATAGGAATACAAAGCAATTTACCACAATGAATTAAACCAGCTTCACAAAATAGGTTGAAGTTTAGAATGGATACTTTTCTGAATTAGGAAGAATAATGTTGTGGTAAATTTTTGGGAGAAAAATTATCAGAACAGTTCACAGCATAGGGTTGTACATATAGTATATGCTCTAAAAATGGTGGTCAATTTGGATTGATCAGTGATAATGCCAGTAGTGCACTGACAGGGGATTTTGTAGATACATACAGTTTCAAAATAAATGACCTGATTCCTTCTCATAACATTTTAAGTACAGTGAGAAAACCATGGAGGTTTTTGTTTTGTTTCCCTTTCCAGGGCAGAAGAAAGCAGTTCTGGACTGGATTTAAGAAAAGAAACCCATTTTCTGAAGGGTCATGGGAATGGTCTGATAGAACTCCACTAAGTCTTTCATGAAAGGACAATAGGAGATGAATTAGGACATTAATTTGAAACAGGTGGTACTCAAACCTCCTGGTGTATGTGAACTTTAGAGTGATTGTATATTGGACAGCTATAGCCAAACCTCCCATGACCCATATCCATGATTCTATGGTTAGAGTTGGGAAGCTCTAAATCAGTGGTATCACAATTGATTTAGAAAAACCACACATTAACGTTATTTGTGTTGTGTTGTATTGTATTTTTATTTATTTTGTTAAACATTTCCCAATTGCTTTTAATCTGGTTCCCAGCTAGGCAAGTTTGACATTTCGGCTTTGACTACTCGTAATGTATTAGCTAGTATCAGGGGAGGTCAGGGAACTTAGTCTTGCCCATAATTTATCCCAGTAGGGCCTTCACCAATGTTTGGAGCTGCAAGGAGTATTATTAGAACTTGTAGTGAAATCATAAAACCCTGTCTCTTATTAAGGGGTCCCTGTGTTGAGCTCCAACAAGACTTGAAAGATAGAGCTGTGTATTGGCCATGATAGCCATCTTCAGGTATTTGAAGGGCTGTATTGGGAACGACTTGTTCTGATTGGCCGCAGATAGCTGAGCAGTGGGTGGAAGATGTAAAGAGGCTAACATAGGCTGGATGAGGAAAGTCGTCTTACCAGACTTATCTAAAAGTGAAATGGGCTACCTTAGGAGGCAGAGGGTTCTTCTGCACTTGAGGTGAAAGCTTCTTGTTGAGAATGTTTCAGAGGGAATTCTCAGTGAGAACCCAGTTGAATTGTGGCCTTTGAGATTCCTAACTCAGTATAGTTGGGGTCTTTTCTTTCACACAGTATGTGATACTCTTTCCTCTTTGCTCAAGTAATCTGTTTCTCATACGAGTATATTCATTCCCTTTAACCCTTTTCCTGTTTGTTCTAGTGCTTGCCTTATTTGGGGGAATAGGAGACTGAGGTGGGTAAAGTTTGTCCTATGCACCCTTGCTTACTTCCTTTGACCTTCTTTACTCCTTGTAAAATGAGGGGATTGGATTGTTCTAGGAGCCATTCCATTTCTAACATCCTATGATATCCTAATAAAATACGTTTGATACACACTGGAAGGGACCGCAGGAGCTACCTAGTTCAACCTCCTTATTTTGTCAGTGAGGAAACAAAGGCCTAGGAGATTAAGTGACTTGTCCAAGGTCACACAAGTGTTAAGTGTCCTAGTGGGATTTAATCACAGGTGTTCTGATTCCAGAGCCATTGAGTTCTTTTTTCACCATGTGTTGCAGGCTCATCGTGAAGAACTAGGAAAACTTAGGTTTGATTTCATGGTAACAAGAACTTATTGTTTGTGTAATGAAAGTAAAAAACAAAACAGCAACCTTTTACTCAAGCTTCTCTGTTCTTAATTTATGCAAATATTGTGACTTTTCATGTTGGGGATGCATAAGGCTATTTAAAAGCAAAAAACAGGTTCACAAAATGAGTGTAGTATAAATAAGAATTTATGGTAGTTTCTCTACATTTTGTATCTTGGACTACTATGAATTGTTCAGAAATGCAACATTCAACCCAAAATGAATTAATGAACTAATTTGTTTTTCATTGTTGAAGGAAGATAATTAGTATTTTATAGTTCTTCTTATTAAATTTGATTTATTTTTGAGACACTGGAATGAGTTACTTGGGAAATTCTCCTGTCTACCCTTTTCTGATTTTGGTTCTTCTTTCCTGCTATTGCATGTTTACTGCATATTGGTATGCTTATATGAGGAACCTTTGTTGAACCTTAATGTAAAAACACAATGTTACCACTGTAGCCTTGGGAAGCAAGAATCTTAAATTTGTTGAATAGCAATGCTATTATTTTTTACTTTGGATCTTTACATGAAAAACTTGGGATACACTCTTTAGTTCTCAGAAAACTTAAAAAGTTTTGGTTTTGGGCAGCAGTTTTATTTTGCAGATGGAGAAACATTGCACAATAGTTTAATTGACTTGGCAAGGTCATATATTATAGCAAAGCCAGAATTAGTATTCTGCTTGTATCTCTCTGTTTACTCCATTAACTTATTTGTATTCAGTTTAGTAGGAAAATGTACTACCATCTCTTTCAGGTTGTTGTTGCTTCAAAAGATAAGAAATCTTGCCTTTTTTTTTCTATTTTTCATACTTAAATATTAAGCCATTATCTATTTGTTCTTATTTGTTTGATCTTTATAATTTTATCCAGGTAAAAATGTGTGGATTTATCTTAATGCTAACTACCTGCTTCTTCTCTTTTTTTTTTTTTTAGGGTGTTATATAATGAGGCTTTTACTATGGCTAATGACCCCTTGGAAGGTTTCCATGAAGTAAACTTGGCTTCTCCTACTTCACCAGATCTTCTTAGTGTGTATGAGCCAGCAACTCAGGAGCAAACTACCTCACCAAGTGTTATCTACCGGCCATATCCTCTGTGCGCAACACCTGTTCAGCCCAACACCTTAAATGTTTCTGACCTTCCTACACAACCTGTTTATTCGTCTCCCAGACATTTAAATTGTGGAGAAATATCGGGTATTAGGTAGGTAAATAAGAATACTTTTATTTGAACTTTTATCAAATACAAGGACAGTCTTGAGATATTACATTTTAGATTTGCATTTTCTAAAGCATTACTGTGAAGCTTAGATAGAAAATTGGACCACCTACTCAGAAACCCACAAATTAAAATCCATACCATACTGTATTTTTACTTACTTTGTTAAACATTTTCCAATTATATTTTAATCAGATTATGTAGCAGACTTTAACCTACTTCTGATCTAAAGAACAGAGAATTATCTGTGTAACTTTTATAAAGTCACATGTAAATATGTTAGCCGAATTCTAGTGTTACTGTGTTTTACGTGGTCAAAATACGAGGACATGTTGTTTTTGTGTGTTAAATTGTGTATTTAAAATTGTACTTTTTCCTTTACAGCATCCATATTGCAGACTCATTACCTTGTTCCACCTCTGGAGTCACAGCTGGTTTAACTAAACTGCCATCCAGAAAGGATAGCAACAGTGCCGAGAGAGAATTTTTACAGGATGCTACAATAACAGAGATTTCTGATGGCAATGATGATTTTTTTGGATTGAGTACTGACAGTCTGTCTCGTTTACGGAGCCCATCTGTTCTAGAAGTGAGGGAAAAGGGTTATGAAAGATTAAAAGAAGAACTTGCAAAAGCTCAGAGGGTAAGGAAAAAAAAATCTATCCTTTTTTCTTTGATACGACACTCTCAGTTATTCATGTTGATGAGCAGGGGACAATGTGGTAGATCTTTCACAAAGAAAAGTCAATATAGTCTTGTACTTACTCATTTTCTTTGTACTTGGTAGGCAGTGTTTGGGAGAACTTCAGACTAGCTTGATGTCGGACCTGGATGTTACAGAGAGATTACTCCCACTTGATTGATTGAGTAAATATTCATGTGATATGGATTTAGTCGGTCAGAAAATTGTAGGAATTGTTCAGTCTTAGTTCTTTAGATCTGCAGTGTTTTTAAAATTTGTAATATTTTCAGTGTTCAGACTGATTTGAATTTTCTAGAATTTGAGCATGGCAACTTTTCCTTAATAATCTGCTTCCATTTCCTTTTACTATTTAAGATTTCTTCTGTGTTACGAGTAAACATTTTGTTCCTAAATTGGTGTCCATATTATGTGATGATGTGAGATTTCAATAGATTGTCTCCCTAGTTTTTATTCTTGATCAGATTTAACAGTGCTGCTATACTTTGTCCATTTTGCAGTTCTCCATTTAGTAGTTTCTTTCCTAATGGACGTTAATTTCTTTTACTTTGATTTTAGATTTTTTTCCTACATTTATTTCAAAAATGTGTGAGATAGTTGTGTTTGCTACTTTCTGGAATGGTAGAAAGAACACTGGACTGAGAGTCTGAATTCTGTTCCTGACTTTGCTATTAATGAATTGTATGATGTTGGTAAAAAAGTCACTGAAGCTCTGAGCACTAGGCTGCTTCTCACACTGTCAGTTATGGACAGGTTTTGATCTCTGTCATAGAAGGGAGGTCCTGTACTGCTTAGATCAGGGGTTCTTCATCTCAAGTCAGTCCATCATTTAGGTCCATCTACCCACTTCGGTTGGAGATGATAAAGTAGTGAGATTACTAGTCGCAAATGTTGAATCCTTTCATAGCTAATATAATCATGTTCTTGTCCATAGAATTTATAACCTTTATCACTAGTCTTACCTAACTCGATTTCTTAAATACGGGGATGCAGGGAGCATTTTGTAAAACTATAAAATCATAGCCTCCTAGGGTTGGAAGGTACTTCAGAGGTATTCTAGTCCAACCTGTTATCTGATTGAAAAAAAAATTATACCTACTCTATATCCTGTTTTTTTCTCTGGACTTAAACATGCTTTTAATAGTAACATTTTTATGTTAATACTTTTTAAAGTTTGTGCTTCACATATTTGAACCTCACTGCAATGCTTTGAGGTAAGAATTATTATTCTCAAATAAAACTTAATTTAAGGAAACAAGATTATTATCACAATTTTGCAAACAAGGAAACTGACTCTGTAAGGTTAACTGTCTTGCCCCTGGTCATCCCAGGGGCCCAAGTGTCAGGTGGGATTTGAATGTTGATCTTCCTGCCTCCATGCCCAGGGCTCTTCACTGTGCCACTCTGTTTTCCTTCAACCTTTCATTCTCCTCATGAGCCTTCTTGGGACACACTCAGATTTCTCGGTGTTCTACTTAAAAGGCGTCTCAGATCATAGCACACGATTATAGATTTATCTGGTCAGAGCAGAATTCATTAGCATTTTTACATCCCTTATTCTGCATACTCTTTTTCTTTTGATGTGGGACGAGATTGTAATAGCTTTTTTTGCCTATTGCATAACATTGTGAAATAATACTGAGTTTGTACTATACTAAATCCTCCAGGTCTTTTTTGAATGAACTGTTGTCTCTTAGTACCTCCTCTATCCTCCTTGTGTGGTTGATTTTTTTTAAACTCAGCTGTAATACTTAATTTACATTTGTCCTAATTACCATTCATCTTCTTAGATTTAGCCCATCATTATAGACTATCAAGATGTTTTTGGATCCTGCTTCTGTCATCCAATCTCATAATTATCTCCCACCCCCACCTTTGTGTCATCTGCATTTTTGATAAGCATACTCTCTGTACCTTCATCTAAGCCACTGATAAAAATGTACAGAACACAGAACTGATCTCAATTGCATTCGACTTCTAGTTTGGCATGAATCCATTTATTAATTGCTACTTTTTGGATGTGATCATACAAACATTTATGATACCAGTTAATTATAACATCAGCTGGTCTGTCCATCTTGTCTACAAGGGTATGATTAGAGTCCTTGTCAGATGCTTTGCTAAGTTACAGGTATACTATGTCTATGGCATCTCCTTGATCTAACCACGTCCAGAAAAAAGATTTGTTTGATATACCCTTTTAATGATGAGTCTGTGGTCAACTTACTGTTTTTGTTCTATCTTTCCAGTCTGTGTATTACTCTCTTTGATCAAGAAAGTGGAGGCAAAAAAAAAAAGTTGAGGCGCTATGTTCTCTCTCTCCAGTATGTTACCATTGTCCCATCTACCAAAACTGCTGCTTTGTTCTGTTCTTCTGTTCCTTCCCTGATCTTCCCAGTAACCTTTCCAGTAACCTGAACTCTTTGAGTTGTGTTTAATGGTCTCGGATCATTCTGAATATGACCCATCCTCACACTGTACTCAGAGGTCCGTGCAGCTCTTTGATGTTTATTGTCAGTTATCTGCCACCTCTGTCTAGGAGCCTTTCATTCTTGCACCTTAAACCATTTCATATACAATCTTAACTAGTTTGTTTATTTTTCAAGACTTTCTAATCTGAAAACATCACCCACGCTCTTAAAATCTTTTCTTTCTTGCTCTGGGTCCCTGATCAATGGATAACAACTGAGGTTGCATAAGTAAAAATAAAATAATACACATTATTTTATTTTTCCCCCTTTTCTGACAGGGAAATATATTCATATCACTAATTTAAAGCATGAAGAGCAAGAACTATAACCTTTTATTCAACCAATAATAAAAAAACTAAGGTATATTTTTAAATGACCAGCTAAGGTAGAAACAAATCTTTATTGAATGCTTGTTGTATGTAAGATACTATGCTAGGTCAGTGTTAGTTGTGGGATAGATAAAAATAAACAAAAGACACTGTTTTTATCCTGCTGTAATATAACTATTGCATTAGTAGGACAAAGGGAAAGAGAACAGGAAGGAGAAGGTGAAAAAAGGAAAATGCTGGGATGAGAGGAAAAAAACTCAGGAAATAGCACAAAACAGAAAAAGGAAGCTGTCGGAGACAGGAATAGGCCACACTCAGAAGGACGTGTAGTAAGAGGCCAAACAGTTCCTGCGCCCTAAATTTGAGATGAAAATGACCATACTTACTTTTCCTATACAATTTCCTCTGCCCATGTTTGGAAGATCGCATTCCATCCCATCTACTCTAGCATATCGCCCACTCCATCATCACTGCTCGCTCATTTACCTTGAGTCTTGTCTTGTCTACTGGTTACTTCCCTACTGCCTGTCAACATGCCCATGCTTCCCTCTTCCTCAGAAATCACTCACTTGATTTGTCTATTACCTCTAGCTCTTGTCCCATATCTGTTCTACCCTTTGTGGCTAAACTTCTTGAGAAGGCTTTTAAAAAGAGAAAAAATCTACTTCCCTTCTCAACTCTTTTTAACTCTATGTTCTGCTTCTGACCTCATTATTCCACTAAAACTACTCTCTCCAAAGTTCAGTCCTCATCCTTCGTGACCTCTCTCCAGCCTTTGACACTGTCCATTACCCTCATCTTGATACCTGGTTTATGGGTTTTCCTTAGGGAGAAAGCGACAAGGGAAGACCCTCGTCCCCCTGGTCCCAGTGCTGATTTGTTGTGGGACTTGGTACCTAACTGAGCCCAGAGCAGGGAAGGGAGAGGACAACCCCTACCTCAGCCTCTGGAGCCAAGGAGATCAGTGTTGCTACACAAATACCAACCCATCTCAGTCTGGTTTCTCACCTGAAGAGTGAGAAGGAGATTCTCGGTGATCCCGGGTTCTTAATTCCTGTGGAGACAACTCTGACATACTTTGAGGAACTCTGTAGTAATCAGGTTCCCTTTGAGAAGGGGGGCTTGATTTTCTTTTCCTTTCCTCTCCCCCTTTCCTTGTTATTTTGGATTGGGGAAAGTAAGTACCAAGACAGGTAGTTAATCTATCAGGACTTAATGAAATGATATTTATTTGTACATATTTAGAAGCATCAAAGAATGATTATTCTTTGAATGTTTATGAACTGTGCCACCTCACTGGGAAAGGCATTCAAAAAGGATAATGCTGAACTTTCCTGAATCACTGGAGAGCTCTCCAGAAGTTAGATCTTTGAACTTTGACTAACACCCTCCAGTAGGTTTACTGAGGACAGTAACTATTAAACTGAGGGCAAAGTGTCAGGGTGGGAATCTACTGGTTAATGAAATTGGGAATGAGAACCCCCTGGGTAGAGGCTCATGGACAGTAGTAGTAAATACCCTTAGCCCTTGAGGGCTATTTCAAGAACTCTGAGGGAGGAAGTATACAACTTCCTCCTGAGGATCCAACCTGCTAAAGTTGGTGAGTGCTGAGCCAGCACAGAGCCTTTGCTTCAGTGATTTTCAGCAAAAATAAGTAAATTTAGTGGATGGATAGATTTGGGAGGAAGGAGATTAGATAAATATGAGTTCTTTTGGTGCTTTAGAATTTGTTCAGAGCCATTTTTTACAGGTATTTGGAGGGGTTTGGGGGAGAGCTCAAGCAAGTCACTGCTTTTACTCTGCCATCTTGACCTTTTTTTTAGTTTTTTGTTTTTGTTGAGGCAATCAGGGTTAAGTGACTTGCCCAGGGTCACACAACTATTGAGTGTCAAGTGTCTGAGGCTGGATTTGAACTCAGGTCCTCCTGACTCCAAGGCAGGAGCTCCATCCACTGTGTCACTTAGCTGCCCCTAATATAAATTCTTTTGGGACATGTGAAGTTTGGAATACTTAAGAGATATTCAAGTGGAGGTGTCCAGTTGGCAGTTAGTAAGGTAGAAGTGAGCTTCGGAGAGATCAGGGTTGTGTACATATATTTGGGTGTAGTCACCTTCATTTTTACTTGTACATTTACTTGTATATA